CCTGAGAGTTTCTTGGCACAAGCGCCTGCATTTCATTTGTGCAAGTGTTTCAATATTGAGGTTTTGAAGTTGCGGTCAACAAAAGGAACTGATGGATGGAAAATAGAGAAAAATGGGAATTGGTAAAGGGATTTCAGTTTTGATTTCGGGGAACTGGCGCACTTTTGTTGATCTACGTATCTATACATGTTATGTATCTCAATATTTGCTGCTGCTGATGCTGCAATGTGTGCAAAGGAGTGAAGGATCTGGGCACCGAAAAGGATCAAAGGGTTTGGCCTGGCATGGCTATCACAACAAATATGATGCAGGGACATCAAGTGGAATAATTGTGTTTGGTCATGGCGCAATCCTTTCATTCTTTCCCTTAAACTCTCCTTCGAAAATAACCGATAACCTCTTGGCATTGGCTTTGGATTTGGATTTGGCTAAAGTTTTGGCTTTGAGCATGTGCGGGACTCCTTTGTACGCGTGGCTTATGTGGAGATGCCGCATCCTGCGCCAACGGGTAATTACAGATCATGATTTATGGCCAGCTGACCCGGCCCCACCGAAAAGTAAAACAACACAACACACTCACACTCACACAACAAACAAAGCAAAAGGACGGGGCCAAAAGCTAAGCCAAAGTTAAAGCCATTGCCACAGCCATCGATCGATCAGTTCAGCTCTGTCCGCCCATTTTGGCCCCTTTGGGGCAACTGCATCTCTGCCGCAGATGCGTCTCCTTTGGAGCTCTTTCCCTCCTTTGGCCTTGTTGTTATTATTTTTGTCTTCTTTATTTTATGCAAATAAAAGGAGCAAAGCCATCCTGCCATCCAGGAGAGATGCGTGTTTGACAAAAGTCGAGAATTGCGAGCGGCAACGCCACCGCAGAGATTGATGGAGCCAAAGGTCCGCAGACTTCAAAACTATTTGCCGCTTTCTACACAGCAAAAAACTAGAGCCCAGCGGAGGTGTATGTTATTTAAGTGGAATTGTCCTTTCCATTATTTGTTACTACTGAGTACTGCTTTTTGAATCAATCAAACTGTGAAGGTGGTTCTCTTACTTTTAATATAATAATACTTTCGGTGTAGGAGTTTATGGGCGAAATCCATATAATCCATCAGAAAACATCTCAGACGCTCAGACGTGTCGTGGACTTTCAATGCAAGATCTGTGTGCAGATTCTGACTCCGAAGGCACGTGTGTTGGTCAAAGATATTTGGGTTTGTCATTGCCATTGTCATGGTTGTTGGGTCTCAAATTATTCGAGGCCAGAAGTATGCTCAAGTGGCTGGGATGTGGCAATTAGGATAGGAAAAGCAGGACGAGGTTATTTCTAGTGCAAACTGGAACACGCCCAGTAGCACACAGTTGAACGCTCTAATGGGATTAAGGATAGCTATTTCTAGGATAATCGTAAGAGCTGAAGAACTTAATTGGGAGGCGGAAAACGTTGGTGGTCGAAGAACTGAATAAACAAATTGCATTTGAAGGGACAGAACTGTTCCGAGGGAGGCCATACTTTAGTTTACTTTGACGCCTTTTAAATATGAAACGCCACCCTGAAGTATTTACTTAATTTCTTCTTCAATATATGGAAATCCTGCAGGAAGAAGGAATAACCCGCCGAGCGTGGCACACCATAAAAATTATGGTTCTTACTTTGGCCGTAATCTCTCGTCCAGGATTTTCCCTGCCGAATAAGCCCGATTAAAGGGGTGGGTTAACAACAATATAGCGCCGAATCTTTCCCGATTCCGCCAATTGTACGCTTATTAGGCCTCTTTTTTTGGCTCTGCGCCAGGTAAGCAGCACCTTTTCTCCTTCCACCCGGCAGGTGGAATCCCAGGCAAAGCCAGGTCACTCCAAAGTCAGGGTCACGCGGGATCGCTACATCGCGGGCCATAAAGCACAAACGCCGGCTCTAGGAATTTCCATCGGGCCATAAAAGTGTTTTGAATGATCGAAGGGCAGGGAGAAGGATCGCGGATCATCATAATGGCAGGGACAGACCAGGGAGTGAGAGAGGTTCCTACCTAAGTCCGAACCGAACCAGGAACCTGGCCCCAGTCCGTGACAGAGTTATCACATTTGGTATGTAACTACATTTATCACAACTTAATATGACAACTCAAATAACTTTTGCCTGGCAGAGTCCGAGCCCAAGTCCAACTCCAAGTCCGACTTCGAGGGGGGATGTCTACTCTTTCCTCTTGGCTGGCCGGCTTGTCACATTTGACTTCGCTAATTGGAACATATTTCTCCAGCCCCCCTCGCTGGATGGATGTACGTACATACTGCGATTTATGCATCCTCTGGGAGGGAACATCCTCGCAGGAAACCTGCCGAAAAATGAAGATATCAGGCTGTGGGAGCACTCTGCAGAATAATAGTTGAGGCCATTATTATGTTTCGTTATCTTTGGAGGCTCTCTGGTGTGTGTTGTGTTGTGGTGTGTGGGCGAGGACCCCACCCGAGGGCCTGGCATCAATAATTCATAACGCTAATTAATAACGCCCCAGTTCAAATGCGTTGCGTGCCAAGATAAAAGGCCAAAAGCCGCCGTAACACATAACAGGATAATAAACCCCGAAAAAGGGCAAAGCCTTTGCCGTCGTGCGCCATCGTGCCTTATTGAAATTCAAATAATTCGGTAACGCTGAACGATCTCTGCCTGCCCCACCGAACCGATCCTCTTTCGAATGTTCCCTGGTCCATCTAATATCCTCACTTGGGGTACTTCTGATGGCCTAAACAAAGGTGGAACTCTAAAATCTTGATTCAAAGTAAGTCACATTTCTAATATTCCTTTTGAAAACATTAGTAACAAGATACAGAACGAATCTGAAGAGTATAATTTAGAGAGTAGTTTCCATATGGTATTGTAGGGCATTTGAAACTTCGTCTTTCGCCTTTCCCTAAACAATTCTGTAGTATTATTTTGTTTGGCTTTCCCTGTTTGGTTTCAGCCTTATTTCACTTCTTTTAACTTGTCTTGTTGTTGCTGTTTGCTTCGTGCCTTAGGTGTAAAAATAAATGTTTTAAGTAACAACTTCTTAAAGAGCTGAATTATGAGCTAAGCTGCGCCTGGCAACTGCCAACTGCCAACTGGCTGAGCCATCAATCTGTGGGTCCTTGAGCCAGCCTATAATTTGGTCGAATTTCAGAACCCTGATTGATGCAGGCGCGGCTTGTGTTTTATACTTCTTTTTATATATATGTATGTTATATCCATATATTTTAATATAAACACATTGTTGCTGGAGCAGAGGTGGCGCGCCAAGAAATCTATTAAAGAACATTCTGAGCTCACGCCCGAGAGCAGCTGGAATAAAGGGTTCCGAAACCCAATGGCGATTTGTCAGATTCCCCACGGGGGATAGAGAGAGTTTTGTGTTTTCCCTAAGTTACTTTGGGCAAAAGGTGAAAGTTCTTCCGGCGATGAGCGTCGGGCGATAAGCCTTGCCCGGAGAGAGTCCGGGAAACCATTTCCCCGATCAGAAACCAGAAACAATAAACAATTGCATTGAGATGTCAAGTGTCAGCGTTGACATTAACAGAAAGGAGGAGATCCCCGAAGCCTTTTCGATCCTTTTCACTTCCTTGGAGCCTCATCCAGATTTCCCAAGGACAATGCCACATCTATTGTTCGCCCTGCCCTTTAATGTGTCAAAATATAGTCTGATCCAGGCGTCTTTCTTTTGATACTCGTTTGTTTTTTCAAATGCAAAGTGATTTATTGTCTCTCCCTGGCCAAGGGTTCTATTTATTCATTCCAAAGATCTGACATCTTGGTGCGTGGGAGCGAAGGATTTTCCTGTGGGAGCGGAGAAAGCCTTTCTCGCAGAACTACATTATAAAGCCATCAATTTGTAGGGCAAAACACTCGAAACAAAGGCCAAGTGCAAGAGAAAATGTCAGGAGTAAAGGTCGAAAATGCTCTAGATTACAAATTTTAAAGCATAATGAGCCTGGGGTCTGTTGGGATTATAATCTGGTAGGATTGTAATATAAAACACATTCTGTAAGTAATAATAAAATAAGAAAAAGCAAGAGTAAACTTGAAATAATGAAAGCACAATAATAATGTGTATTATTTCCGGGGAACTCCCCGGCCTTAACCGTCAGGAATTTCTGCTTTTTCCGTCTGTCAGCATTAGAATGACGTGTTCCCGTTTCCGCTACGATTTGGATTTGGATTTGGAGAAGCGGAGAATTCAATTGAATTAGCATATCTTTCTTCGGTGTTTGCATTTAGTCAGTTTGCGATAAGACTGCTTAGTCCCTCGACTTCTCACAGTTCGTAGCACGTGTCGTCTGTGGACATGAAATAATGATTTCTACCTAGCAGAGGGAACTACCTAAGCAAGGGGGTTTTCTTATCCCCGAGGTAAAGGGTTCACCAAAGCTGGTTATTTGGGATTAGTACTAAGACCTGCCAGAAAGTCAGCGAGTTCGAAGCATCGAAATTATGCACAACAATCTGCATTAGCGGTCATATAAACAGAGCAGAAACAACCCGCACATCCTGTCGGCCTGATTGCCCGTCTTTCCCTTTTTTATATTATTACTTTCTGACCATCATTACAATCGAGAATCGGGATCTCGAGATCGCTGTAAAATGCAATTAATGTGCAAGTGCTACCCGCATGTGTTCCTTCAAGAGGTTGGTTATTACCATCATCTCACGGGAATACGCTTTTTGCTTTTTGCTGACTTGGAAATATTAATTAAGAACAACTCTCTCTCCCTCTCAAGAAAAGGTAATAATTATTTTGTGTTTTGCATTGATTTTATTTCATAAATATATAATATTTGATACTGGTCTCGTGGTGGTTGGGTCTTAGCCTAGGCAAAAAAATCAACTTAAACTAGAAAAAAAATATATGTTGTGTTTGTTTAATTTGTGATTTAGGCTGAGTTCTTATTTACAATTTGAGGCACTTGGTTCAGCTCAACGTTGACTAGAAGAGAACAGGATGTGTGGTGGATGTGTGGGTAGGATCTGGGATCTACTGCTCCTGCCACAGCGAGATGTAGTCGAGGATCTCCTCGTCGTCGGGCGTGCAGTCCTCCTCGTCCAGTTGAAAGTGTTCGTAAGGCTCGAATTTGAGCTGCAGCTGCGAGTGGTTGTGGCCATGTCCATGGGCCTCGCCTCCGTCCAGGTCGAGGTGATCCAGGTGAGCGGAGAGCTGCTGGGGAGCCGCCTCGTAGGTGCCCGAGTCGAAGGACATGCTGGAGTTGAAGGAGGATGTGGGTGAGGTGGCTCCCGTGGCGGCACCGGTCACTCCAACCGCAGCCAAGTTGCTGTTCAAGGATATGGGCGTCAGGGGCTGGTGCGGGAACTGCTGGCGCTGCAGTTGCTGCTGTTGCTGGAGGGGATTCGTGGCTGCCACCGTTGTGGTGGCTGTATTCGCGGTGCTTCCTCCGTTCTGGTAGTACAAGTTGGAGGAGCTGCAGCTACTGCTGCTGGAACTGTGGCTACTGGACTCGTCCAGGCAGAGCTGCAGCTGGGACATGGCACTGGCACTGACACTGGCACTGGCGTTGGAGGGACCTCCATTGAGATCGTCCACGAGATCCTGCAGCCGGCGTATGTACTCAACGGCAATGCGCAGAGTGTCCACCTTGGAGATCTTCTTGTGCGGCCCCCGGCCACCGCCCTTGGTCAGATCGGCGATGATGGACTGCGGGATGTGCTGCCTCAGCCGGGCGAAGCTGTTGTTCACCTGCTTGACCCGGTTCCGCTCCCGGGCATTGCGCCGCTGGACGCTCTGCGACTGGTCCACGTTGTACGGCGCCGGCGAGGAGCCCGGCGAGCAGGAGGAGGAGCCCTCGGTGGACCCGTTGGAACCTGACCGGGCCAGGACCCCGGCCATTCCACGGGGTGTGTACTTGCGCGTCTTGATGGGCATCGCCGAGGCGCCGCCGGGAGCACTGGAGGGACTCGGAGCCGGCATTAGGTGCTGGTAGCGGAAGATCTTCGTGGCCGTGTTGATGGTCGTGGGGAAGACGTCGCTCGGGATCAGCACACTCGATGACATGATGTGTGTTGCTCGTGTACTCGGTACTGTTTCTATTGTTAGTTCACACACACTCGACTTGTTGTTGCTCAACGGAACAGAAAAAAATAAAGGCAGAATGCGGAAGGCTTGAACTTGATCGTTTGACACCTTGCACAAGAATGAGTCCCTTCGTCCTAAACCCTCACGTTATGTACCCTTCAAAGCCACAGACCAGGCAGAGAAAACCGGGAGAGAAAGAGAGAGTCAGAGAGCGGGAGAGAGAGAGAGAGAAACCCACCTACCTACCTACCTACCTGTGCAGGTAGTGAGCTCAGTTGAGCCACAGGTAGGAGCTCCCAAAGAGAGTGGCTTCTCTCCGAGTCACAGGCCCCTATACCTGTGCTCAAACAGAAACTGTTCCCACTCCCGCTCGAACTCGGACTCGAACTCAGACTCGAAGATAAAACTCAACGCGACTCAAAGATACTCGAATGAGTACTCAAGGCCCGCGGAGGACTGCACTGCTCTCTGATTGAGAAGAAGAAGCCCTGCGCCGGTCTTGCGGCATGCCAGCAATTTGATTTCCGTGTTAATTAACTTAGCAAAAGTCGCGATCGCGACTGCGAATGCGAATTTTATGTGCAGCTCACGCACGCCCCTATTCATTAGCGCCGCCAAGGGATCGGGAACCCCAAGACGGACCAGACCTGGCCAGGAGTGGAGTTCCACAGTTCCAGAACTGCCAGCCATCCAGAGATCCTCCTTATTAGCCATGCAGAGTCAGGTCTCGGAAGGTGTTCGAACAATTTCACATATTCCTCTAATTAAATGATCAAAAGGATCACGGGTTTTTCACCCAAAACACGCAACTTGGAAATGTGACAAAAAAATACAGTGGGGACTCTGCAATACATCAACTGTATTAATTCAAGTTCACAACTTTGAGTATCCTAATAATAATAACAAAAACCTGTGGAAAGTTCCGATTTCCCGAGATGGAAAATTGCAACTTCCGCTCTTGCTCTTTTCGAGAAAAAAGAAGAAACCATATAGCATATTGTATCTTCTGCTCTTATTTTGTCACGATCCTCAAGAGAGAGAGAGAGAGAGAGGGCAACACTTGGCTAGAGGGAGACAGAGCAAAAGTGGTGGCCAGGTGTAAGTTGGATTTTTATTGTTTTCCCCGATGCCGCAGCAACTCGTTCCCTTTTGTTTCGCCAGACAGCCAGCATTTTCCCTTTGCCAAAAATCATCATCATCATCATGCCAAAAATTTGCCCAAATTTCAAATTCAAAAATCAGAATCAAAAACCGAAACCGAAACTTGACAACCGAAACCGGAGAAACCCGCAAAAACCTTTCAACCATGACCAGAAGGACGGCGCTTCTCTGTGTACTTTATCCTTTGACAATTTCCATTACCCTTTTTGCATGCTGCATTCCAGAATCTCCACTCTTTCTCCTTTCTCCTTTCCCATTTTCTATTTTTCATTTCCCATTTCTATTTTCTTTTTTGCATTGTAATGCCGGGTGATCGGGGATCGGGACTTTTGATGGAATTCCATTATTTTGGCATCATTAACACGTTCATTGTCCCCAGTCGCCGTCCATCCATCCGTTGGCATCTATTCAAATATTCGCATTTCCCCGCATGCCACTGCCATCATTGTTTGCAGTTTCGATGATAAATGCTGTGCAAAAGTCCTGCCGGAATCCTGGTGAAATGCCCAGAATAGGGTTGAAGTCCCATCCGCATTGTCCACTAGATGATCTATTGTGTGGCCAGGACCGCTGGCTGAAGTGGATTGCATTTGCGCAATGATTGATAGATTCAGATGGTTATTTCGAGGGAGTAAGTACTGATACTGATACTGCTACTGATACTTCTTCCATCCTGTGATTCCTGTGATCGGTCAGAAGTCAACAATGTCGGCAAAAAGTTGAAAAGGACTCGAGTGCAGATCTTGCCTCGTGCCGGCAGGGATCTTATCCTTATCGAGAGATACTGCCTGATCCCAGGATACACACGAGTACGTATATACATCTACATATGTATGTATAATCTCTAGTGAAGCCTTAAGATCACCAGAGAATCACCAAATCTTGATCATTCGGCAGTAGAAAGAGGAGAGTCCGGTGGCATTATGATCCCTATCTCAGGTTTTGATTGGAAAACTCTGATCTCAGAGCTATTCTTCTGGTAAGATTACCCAAAGTTAGTAAGTCAGATATGTAGAGTATTTCAAAGGGTTTGCGATTAGTTTATGTTCTATGTTATACTTAATTTTATACTTTAAATCATTGATCAGTTCATGATTATTTCATTTCCCCCAAAACCCATTTTAGTCCTTATCCAGGCAGGGAAATAAACCCATGGAAAATAAACCTGTAACTTTACTGTGTGTTGTCTCGACAACCAGAAAACAACTTTTGGCTGTTGCTCTCGCCCTGTCCTTTCCTGCCCTGCAATTGGTTTGTTTATATCCTTTTTTGTTTTGTTTTAGCAAGTTTTGGAAGATTTAAATGCATAATTACTTCGATATGAGGCATAGTTCCGGGCCGCGAGAACAGGATACGCGTGCGTTAATTGCGTGCAAGCGAGATGGGGTGCACACAGGATATAAGTGAGCAGGACATGTGTACATACTATATACACCATATATATATATATATATATGTACAATATATATGTATCCCGATCGCAGGGGAGCGATGCGACGCGTGCGTTTTTCCAACGAAAACTTGAAATGCAAAAATGAATGTTGAATGTTAATTGAAACGAGTTCCCGTTGCCAGGACCTGCAGCGGATAGAGTGAGAGATGTATACAGAGGCTCACCACGTGCCGCACTCCTTGATTACACTGGGAGAAATTATGTATTTTTGTAACTAAATTATAGTACAATATTATGAACCTATTCAAAATTGAACCATAAACTCACAATGCCATTTCTTTTGTCGAGTGCATTCGAGTGCCAGTGAAGCGTAGTCGCTATTCTCTCCCCATTTTGGCTCGCTCATTTTTGTAGTTAGTAGTTTTAATTAAATGCAGGAGCAGGAGTAGGACCAGGACCAGGAGCAGGAGAAGGACTCGCTCTCCTCAAAAGTTCCCGTCGATCGGTGACCGAGGCGACGCGTCGCGTGGCAGGTGTATTTAAGCAACCGAATTGGGATTGTGAAGGGAGAGGCCAAGGGGATGGGGCATGCCACGGCACGGGCTTAGACAGAGAGCCATTGCACACTACCTTAGGGCCTTAATGCCCCGATTCCACCTTTTTTCCCTCCGACCCCGGCTCCGACTCCGACTCCGTCTTTGGCCGCAGCTGAAAAATAAACGAGCGCGCGCGCACACACACGAAAATAAAATGGAAATGCTAGGGGTTGTTTCCTCCGTTGAATTTGTTGTTGTTTTTGATGTTGATGTTGCCCCCGAGATGCAGCCATCTCCATCCGTCTCCAGAAAATCCAGCAAAATAGGGGAGCCAGAGTCAAAGTCAGAAGGCGAGATACAAAACGAGAGCGACGTGGATACACAGATCCTAAGCTAAGATACACACTCCGAGCGGCGCATTGAACTTTTCACAAAACCAAAAGTTCAGTTCGTCAAGTTCGAAATCAAACGAAAAACAAAAACAAAAACCAAAACCCAAAAAAAAATACACCTGGGAATCATCGAGGGGGATTTTGATGTTACTTATCTTTTCTTTTCTTTTTGATTGAGATCATTCGGAACTAGTTCGACTTTGATAGAGAATCTGGCCATATATGAGAGAAAACAATAAACTCCATGGACTTTTTATGGTTACTATTAAATGATTATGAAATTTAAATATACTACTATATCTTATTTCTAACAAGAAAGAATACTAACTAACGAAACGCCGAATTATATATACCCTTTCAGTTTGCAATTGAATTCCAGGATCGATACGCAAATTATTCGCATTTTTGAATGGAAATTATCAATATTTTCATATGACAATTTTCTTCGATATATCAGGATTTAAAAAACTCATAACTAAGCCAAAAATGTATTAAATTGGATTCAGAAACCTGTTCTGTTCTAGTTTTTCTTAGGTTTATAAATCTGCATACCTAAATAACACTTTTACACCATTTGAAATTTTTCGATTTTTCACAGTGTTAACAATGGAAAAAAACAGCTTGAAAAAGTATGAAAAAAATTTTGAAAAAATTTGTTCACTCTTTAATGTCTAGAAAGATTCGCCAGTTGATGCTGATCAAGAATATATATGGAATATAGGGTCGGAAACGACTCCTTCACGATGTTTTAAGCTTCAGACTGAAATTATAATACCATTTTTTAGGGCGATAATTCGATATTTTTATATGATACTTTATTCTAGAAATCAAAGCTTAAAAATCTCATAACTAATGCAAAAATGCATTAATTTCAATAAAGAAAGCTGTTCTGTTCTAGTTTTTAATAATTGTATAAATGTGCATACCTAAATTAGACTTATTAACTATTTGAATTTTTGTCAATTTTTCAATATGTTAACATTAAAAAAAAGAGCCTAAAAATGTTGAAAATAAATTTTCAAAAATTTGTTTCTCTACTTTATGGCTAGAAAGATTCCCCTGCTTATGCTGATCAAGAATATATATGGAATATAGGGTCGAAAATGTTTCCTTCACATCGTTTTGAGCTTCTGACTGAAATCATAATACTATTTTTTGAGTCGAAATTTCGATATTTTTATATGATACTTTATTCTACAAATCAAAGCTTAAAAATCTCATAACTGATGCAAAAATGCATTAATTTCAATAAGGAAAGCTGTTCTCTTCTAGTTTTAAATAGGTTAATAAAACTGCATACCTATATTACATTTTAAAACCATTTGAATTTTTTCGATTTTTCAGAGTGTTAACAATCGAAAAAACAGCTTGAAAAAAATTGAAAATAAATTTCAAAAAATTGTTCCTCTATTTTATACCCAGAAAGGTTCGCCTGTTGATGCTGATCAAGAATATATATAGTTTATAGGGTCGGAAATGACTCCTTCATATTATTTT